GGGGGAACAACTGGGTCCAGGTGTCTTACGGTATGCATTCCACTACTAGCCTAAAGACCAACCGTTAGAACCTGCCCAGCTGCTCTGAGGAAGAGAGGCCTGGTGAAGCCAAGAAAGCCATAGGGGCTGTGGGCTGGACTCCGTGTCAGAGGTCTTTCTGGGGTCACTACAGTTGACCTTGAACAGCTGGGTAGGCCCCTTATCTGTGGATTGTCTTCTGTCATTATGTGTGTGTTATGGTCACTCATCTTCTCAAAGCGAGGCTCACGTGACTGCCCACAATACCAACAGGGAAAACCATCCCAATCTAAGTGGGCCCATGCATATCCACCCATGTGGTCAAGGGTGAACTGTAAATTCTACTTGAGTTTTCTTTTGCACAGGTCAGCTTCCAGCTCTCTCATGTATCCAAAGAACCACAACAACCCAGCAGGTACATTCAGACCACACCTGCTTCTGCAGGGCCCGGCCCTGAAATCACTCAATGGAATGTCAATAGCACATCCCCAAGACCCACTGGCCCTGCACGTGCTCAAACTCCATGTGCCAGTTGGCTCGGTCCAGCCCTCACTCTGATAAACTGCCCACTATTTCTCCCTCCTTTCTGGCCGTGCCAGGTTTGTAAACTCTGCTGAGCCAAGAGGTTCTAGCACATGCCTAGCAGTCATCACAGATATTCCACTCCACCAAGTCAGCCACAGTCAGTCTCTGGTCGGGGATGAAGTGCCAGGCCACTCAGCAGTGGTGGGCACATGCTGTCCTTGGCACTGGCTGGGCCAGGAGCATTTTGCTGAGGTGTCAGTTCTGCGTGAGGTTCCCTGTGTGGTTGCAGGAGCAGAGGAAATGGCATCATTTTCATTGGAAAACTTGCAAACCTGGGGTCAGGTGGGCGCAGGAACAGAGAAGGCCATGCTCACCGGTCGCCAGAGCAGAGACCCTGATCCAGCAACACCCTGTGTAGCTTCTCTCGCTGGAAATCACAAGTGGCTTTTCTATTTCTTTTCTGTGTCATTTAACTCTGTCTTCTTTCAAGCTCAGCCTGAACAGCCCCACCTTGCCTCCCTGCACCACGGTGGGATCACCACCTTATCCAATTCAAACAGGCATGGCAGGCATCCCGGCTGAGTGCTCTAGCTTTTGTTGGGGAATGTTCAGGCTAATTTTAGCCTGTGCATTCACACCCATAAACTGAGACAGACAAATAATTTGCAAAGACAAACCCTGCTTGTTTGAAGCTCCAGGAGAGATGGTTGGCAAGAATGTTCTTCTTGGAGCAGAAACCAGAAGGGAATGCCAGTACTCTTGCTGGCGGCACGCCCTGACCACAGCCCTCCAGGGTCCTTGTCTCTGGGCGGGCAGGCCGTATGCTTTCCAAAGCACCTGGGCACTTTGCAGAGTGGGTGGAGTCAGGTCACCCTGTGGTGACTCACCGAGGATCAAGCAGGGCCTCCCCAGCTTTGTGATCACAGGGGAGCCTCGGGGCTCTGGGGTCAGCATCAAACCAAAGCCAAGCCAACTGCTGTTGAGCTAACTCCCACTGGTGGCGACCTCATGTGTGCCACAGTTGAAATGGGCTCCACAGGGTTTTCAGTGGCTGATATTTTAGAAGTACATCTCCAAGACACCTCTGTGTGGGTTCAAACCACCAACCGTTCAGTTAGCAACCAAGCACTTAATCATGTGCAGCACCAGGGATTCCACAGCTGGTACAAGATCCAAAGTGTGCCATCACCAGATTAGGGACCTAGGGTATACCCCCGGCCTCACCAAGCACTGGTTCCTCTGACCTGGGCCGAAACACCAGGATTCAGCAGCAAGGGAGGGTGGGATCCAGCACCTGAATGTCCGTGAACGGGAGCTCTAGGCATGATCACACATCCCAACAGCAGGAGACAACCCACCGCTAAGGGCACCATCGGGACACACAGGAGCAAAGGAAGCAAATCAACAGCCACCTTGGCCTTGCTTCGGCTTCCACTGGGGTCCTGCAGGTATCTTAGCTGGACAAGATTACTATGGAGGGTCTAGAAGCTGCTAGAAGGCTCCCCTATCCATGGGCTGTTTCCTGAATGGGGCCACTTGACCCTGGAGATTCAGCAAGGAAGAAAACACCTAATTACCCCCTCTCTTCAAGCTCTCGTGGGTCCAAACAAGCTTCATTTGAATTTTCAACTCCTGCTTGGATATTTTCACCCATGAGCCACTTCAGATGAAAAAGAAGTGTCCAAGACACAGGGGTCTACCTTATTTTTTCCATGATTTTCAGAGTATCTGTGACATCTGAGAATGGGTTTAACACTACAGTAGGGGTGTTAAAGAAATGTGTGCATATAGCCACAGATTGAAAACAACTTCCTACTGTTGTCCCCAGAACCCTTGCCCTGGTCTACACCTCCATTCACTTCCAAGCATCACCCACACCAAGAGGGTGAGAGACCAGAAGTCAACTTAGTGACCTTGGAGAGTGTTGGCGCAGAGCAAGGGGCAGCCACCATGACTACACCCCCACTTCCACCACCTCTACCATCATCACCATCATTTCTAACCACTATTACCTCCATCATCATCATCATCATCACTACCACATCATCACCACCACCATCACCTTCACAGCCAACATCACCACCGCCATCACCAACTCCATCACCAACTCCATCAACTAATCACCTTCACCACCTCTACCACCATCACCATTACC